AGGCACTCCTCAAGAGGACACTACATACACAGGACCACATGGAAGCTGAGATTTTTCCCAGTACCATCCAGCATAGACATGATGAGCCGTGAATTCAGGAGACAAGTCAGCACAAATCAAACCCCTGTCCTTTTCAGTACTACAGTATCACATGAGAACTCAGAGGAAGGGAAGTAAGAATCACTGCATCTCTTACCATTACACATCCCTTTTATTCAGAAACTGGTAGCTGAAAGCCCACAACACGGTCACTCCTCAGGGCCCTCATTTCTCCCGGGTTTGCTGCCCTGGAAGAGGACGTGTCTTACTCACTGAAGAATGGGGTTGATTGAAGAATAGGGTTGTAAACAAGGAACCTCAAGGATGTTAGGCTTTGTTAGCAACTATAGAGAAAAGGAAATTCCTAAGATAAGCTTTGCCAGAACCACCTGGTGGTTACTGATACGACTGATATGACAAGGATCCTAAAACAAAGTGATGAAGAAATAACCACCAAGGGTCCAAAAGCCCACTACAACATTTTTGTAGGCATACAGGAGGCAATCTCTAAAAGTATGATGTAACGCATGTAATCTAAGGAATATGTATGTGTAAGGAAAATATAATCACAGCCTGGTTGATGCCTGGGAGAGACACACTTGGAGGAGCTATCTCCCATGTCTCCCGGTGCCGCAATAGAGAATACCTGCTTGTCAATTTAAAACTTTGTTGGCGAGTTCCTGGAGTTTTCTCTGAAACAATCTGGCACCCCACATGGGATCCTCTCTGCTCGGCTGCAGGACCCAATGAGGACAGGTCTCCCTAGGGCCCTCAGGAGTTTTACCTGGAGGCACCCCTTGACTCATTCGGATCACTGTGGGAGCAAACAAGAACCATCCTCATAAAAGGTATTCTTTTCTTTCGTATAGTCTGTAAGGTGCAGGGGGCATCGTGCATAAAGACTAAATTGGTGATTGGGTTGGGTTGGTAAGCGTACACAAGGTTTGGAAGCCTTCCGTAAATCGAGATAGGAAATCTCGTGGGTAAAGGCGTATACCCGGCTGCTAGCGTCCGTTTGGTATGCACCCACAAGAAGCAGGGGGCATCTTCTGGTTTGGGTCCTACAAGACGCAGTGGGCGTCTTGTAGAAACGGTTTTGAATTTTACTGCTATTTGACTTGTGTTGTGGCTTGTTATAGTTATGATTTTGGTCTTGTGATTTTGGTATTGGTGAGAGGCTGTTATAACTGCGTTATTGTCTCTGTTTCAAGCGTTGTAACTGTGTGGAGTGTGTCTATTCTGTGGCTTGTTACAGTGATGATTTTGGTCTTGTGATTTTGGTGTTGGCGACAGACCGTTATAACTGTTAATGGTTGCTGTTCGATACAATTTTAGTCTCTGTCTCAAGTGTTGTAACTGTGTGGAGTGTGCCTGTGGGATCCCGTGTGTGTGTGTGAATGCAAGACTGACAATGGGAAATTGGCAGAGTGAAGACATCTTGAAAAGGAGTCCTTTAGGGTGCATTTTGGCACATTGGAAAGAACTGGGAGGGTTTCCTGGGGGCTCAGTAAATAAGAAAAATGTTGGTGAAATATTGTAACCAATGGTGGCCATTGTATACTCTGGAGGATCAGGAGAAATGGCCTAAAACTGGAACTCGGAATTATATTTCATTGTTGCAATTAATGTTATTTTTAAGGCAACAAGGAAAATGGGATGCAGTGATGCATGCAGATATGTTTTTCACTTTAAGAAACCACCCAGAGTGGCAAACGGAATGTGAAATTAATATAGCTCTGCCAGATCCCTAATTTTGGCTTTAGAAAAGGACAGGGAAAAACAGAAAGCTAAGCTGGAGAGATGTTGTTCAGCCTGTGATATTGGGGAAATTATGTTTAAAGTTAAAAAAAAAAACAAAAACCAAACACCTAGACAGAGTAATCGGGAAGATAGGTTGGGGGATTATGTATCACAGGTACCTCCGAGAGGAGCACTCTCGGCAACTGCTCCATCTGTTACTGATAAGGAGGAAGAGGTTGCTGTCACTGGCAACAGAGCAGAAGGACTTGAGAATGTTAAAGAAGCGTGGAGAGCGTACAGGAATCGGGAACAGATAGAGAAGAGCGAGCTGAGTTGTGCTATGGGCACGCCTACAGTGACTGCTTTGGGACAAGTAGAAATTGGTGGAGGAACTAATGCGAGAGGACGAGGCAGAGGTAGAGGAGGAATGTCAGGCAGAGGTGAGAGATTGAATTTTCCTGTGGGATGGAATCAGTGTGCATACTGTAAGGAGTTTAGACACTGGAAGTGAGACTGCCCTGGGGGAAGCTCCATGGTGTGGCTCCGGTGACTGAATTGGAACTAGACTGACAAGGACCTGGGGAATCTACCCTAGCAGATCCACTCATTAAATTAAAACTAGGCACTAGAGGAAATAAAGTGGAATTTCTAAGTGGTTACAGGAGCAACTTATTCAACGTTAAATCAGAGGAAAAGAATTTGTTACAGATGTGGTAGCTACTAGTCACCAAAAAAACAAAACAACAAAAAAACAACAAAAAAAAAAAAAACAACAAAAAACCCAAACCCCACATTCTTTCTGAAACCTGTAGAGTATAAACTGGGAAAACAAATAGGAATGCATAAATGTTTATGCATGCCAAATTCTCAAAAAATCTTTTATTAGGGCAAGCAGCAACATTTAAAGAAGGCAAAATGGAATTAAGAGTCAAAACCAATCAATTAATTGAAGTTTTGAGTTTATCTTTAATTCAGCAGAAAAGCAAACAGGAGGACCTCCCTGAAATAGAAGAAATCCTTAAACAGGTGTATCTGGGAGTATGGGCATCTGAAGTTCCAGGTAAGGTGAAAAATGCTTTGCCTGTTGAAGTGGAAATAAAAGGGGGGCTGCCCAATTAGAATAAAACAATATCGCTTAAAATTGGAGGATCGAAAGGGAATCAAAGAAATAATTTTTAAAAAATATGGATTATTAATTGAATGTGAATTAGAATATAATACTCCTATCTTGCCAGTAAAGAAATCCGATGGGAAAAGTTAGAGATTAGTTCAAGATCTCAGAGCAATCAACAAAATTGTGGAGGATGTTCATCCAGTAGTAGCTAATCTATATACCTTATTGACTAAACTAATACTAATCAGGAGTGGTTTACCGTTCTGGACTTAAAGGATGCATTTTCCTGTCTGCCCCTGGCCAAAGAAAGTCAGAATTTATTTGCTTTTGAATGGGAAAACCCTGAAAAAGGAAGAAGGACACAGCTCACTTGGACGGCGTTACCTCAGGGATTTAAAAACAGTCCAACCATTTTCAGAAATCAATTGGCACGAGAATTAGAATCCTGGGAAGCATCCACTCAGACAGGAACTTTACTACAGTATGTGGACAACCTGTTAATTGCTACCAAAACTGAGAGAAAATGTGTTCAATGACTGTAGAACTGTTAAACTTTCTGGGGCTAAATGGATACCGGGTATCTAAATGGAAGGCTCAACTAATTCAAACTCGAGTATCTTATTTAGGACGCAAAGTAACAGGAGGACAACCAGAATTGGAGCAGCTCGGAAGGAAGCAATCTCTCAAACACCGTGACCATCCACAGTTAAAGATATCCGGACATTTCTGAGAATGACGGGATGGTGCCAACCCTGGATCCATGATTATGGTGTTCTGGTAAGACCCTTATACGAGCTGCTAAAAGAAAATCCAACCTTTCTAAAATGGACAGATCAAGCTGAAGAAACATTTAAAAGTTTAAAGACAGAGCTCATGAGAGCTCCAGCTCTGGGGGTCCCGGACATAACTAAACACTTTTGGCTATATTCCTATGAGAAATAGGGTGGGGTTTCTCAGCCTTGGGGGTTTTGCAGGTATGCAGATATGACTGATAAGACAACGATCCTAAAACAGTGTGATGAAGAAATAACCACCAGGGGTCCGAAGCCCCACTACCACATTTTTGTAGGCACACAGGAGGCATTCTCTAAAAGTATGATGTAATGTATGTAATCTAAGGAACATGTATGTTTAAGGACAATATAATCACAGCCTGGTTGATGCTCAGCAGAGAGATGCTTGGAGGAGCTATCCCCCGTGTCTCCTGGCGCCGCAATAAAGAATACCTGCTTGTCAGCTTGAAAACTGTGTTGGCGAGTTTCTGGAGTTTTCATCATCAACAAGCAGGCGGCTCGAGCAGCTGCCCTCTTCCACTGCAGAGGCTGGAATGTCATTTCTTTTGCTTCATGAGCTCTGCTCATCAAGACCTGGCTGAATGTTCAGGGTAAACACATACCTTGCCGGTGCCCTACCAGAAGCCTCCTGGGAGGAATCCAACAACTACAAGAGGCAGGATAGTGGGGCTACAAATTGGAGACAAGGCTTAATACAAAACACCTCAGCACTCCAAACATTTCTTTCCCAATAACAGTGTTCAAACCCTCAGAGAAAACATCCCTGTTTCATCTAGCCAGCAGTTAGTTTGCCCCAGACACATTTCCACAGCAAGTTTCACGCTCAAGATGCACAGCCATTCTTCTCAGGGTAGGAAGACGCTTAATCCCAACAATCCAGTGCCTTTTGAACGAAGTAGACACTGCTGTGGCAGGGAAGCAGGACTGAAGCCCTGGCTTTGCTTTGACACTCTTCGGAGAAGCTCAGTAATTTGCAAACATCCAGGTGGTACAGAGTTCAAGTTTGCTGTTCAACCAGTTTACAACTTCAGGCTATTTCCCCACATGCAGACCTTGCATCCTTGCTTTAACGAGCAGCAGCAGAACATGGTTGCACCCACCCAAGCATCACTGCAGTGGAGACAAACCCCAGAACCCCAGGCCTAGCAGCTTGAAGAGCCTTCACAAAGGTAACCTGGCACTCACCTCAGAAGAGCTGCACACCTCCTCCTCCTCCCATGGGGAGGTTTTTGCGGCTGGAAACGGGGCCTCACAAAGTAATTTTTACACGGCACGAGCCCCCGCGCAGGCGCAGTCCATGGAAGGCAACGCGGCAGCGTTCAACGGACGTTTATTGTGTGGGGTCATTGCGAGCGGCACCAGCCATGGGAGCTGACCCTGGGGTCACCCGGTCCCAGCCCTGCCAGGGCAGAGGCACCTGAACGTGTCCAGGCAGGCCTTGGATGTGCCCAGAGAGGGAGCCTCCACATCCCCCTACGCAGCCTCTTCAGTGCTCTGACACTGCAACAGAACAAGTTCTTTCTCATGTCCAGGTGAAACTTCTTCTGTTTCAGTTCATGCCCACTGCTCCTCATCCTGGGGCTGCCCACCACTGAAAAGAGTCACGCACCTTCCTCCTGGCACCTGCCCCAAACCTCCAATCAGCTCCCTCCACCACCTCTCCTCTTCTTCATCTCTGAGGGCTCATTCTCCTAGGAAGAAACTGCTTTCACCCTCCACAAGCAGGGTGGTCAATGGGAGTGGGAGACACCGGGCTTTGCTCCCAGGGTATCAGACCTCACTGCTCCCCAAACTCCCCCCACCTAGGGCTCCCCACCCCTGTGGGTCTGCTGGTGCCGGAAGAGCGCCGAGCTCCCTCTGAAGCCCTTTCCACACTCAGCACAGACGTAGGGACGCTCCCCGGTGTGGATGCGCAGGTGCTCGGTGAGGTGGCCACTCTGTCGAAAGCTGACCCCACAGTGGGCACAGGCGTAGGGCCTCTCCCCGGTGTGGACCCGCCGGTGCTGGATGAGCTGCACGTTGTCAGAGAAACTCTTCCCGCACTCAGCACACTTGTAAGGCTTCTCCCCAGTGTGCACCCGCTGGTGCCGGACAAGCTGTGAGTTCTCATAGAACCTCTTCGGGCACTCGGCACACTTGTAGGGCTTCTCCCCCGTGTGGGTTACCTGGTGCTGGATCAGCCTTGAGCTCACGCTGAAGCTCTTGCCGCACTCTGAGCACTCATAGGGCTTGTCCCCGGTGTGGACCAGCTGGTGTCGTGTCAGAGTTGAGCTCACGCTGAAGCTCTTCCCGCAGGTCCTGCATACGTAGGGTTTCTCCCCAGTGTGGACCCGCTGGTGTCGTGTCAGGGCTATGGACAAGCTGAAGCTCTTCCCGCAGGTCCTGCACTCGTAGGGTTTCTCCCCCGTGTGCACCCGCTGGTGCTGAATGAGCTTCGAGCTCTGGGAGAAGCTCTTCCCACACTCGGCACACTTGTAGGGCTTCTCCCTGTTGTGCACCCACTGGTGTTGTGTCAGGGCTGAGTTCACGCTGAAACTCTTCCCGCAGGTCACGCACTCGTAGGGTTTCTCCCCAGTGTGCACCCGCTGGTGCAGGACGAGCTGAGAGTTCCTAAAGAAGCTCTTCCCGCACTCGGCACACTTGTAGGGGTTCTCCCCAGTGTGGGTTACCTGGTGCTGGATCAGCTTTGAGCTCACGCTGAAGCTCTTCCCGCAGGTCCTACACTCGTAGGGTTTCTCCCCAGTGTGCACCCACTGGTGCTGGATGAACTGCGAGTTGTCAGAGAAGCTCTTCCCACACTCACCACACTTGTAAGGCTTCTCCCCGGTGTGGGTTACCTGGTGCCGGATCAGCTTCGAGCTCTCTCGGAACCTCTTCCCGCACTCGGAGCACTCGTAGGGCCGCTCCCCTGTGTGGATCATCTGGTGCTGGACGAGATGTGACCGGTGCTGGAAACTCTCCCCACATTCGGTGCAGGAGAAGGGTTTTTCTCCGGTGTGGATTCTCTGATGCTGGATGAGGTTGGAGATCACCTGGAAACTCTTCCCGCACTCCCCATGTATTGTCAGTTTCCCCATGGAAGTGTTTCTCTGCTGGATAACATCCGGCAGCCTCCTGGAGCTTTTTCCACACAGTGCCGCTCGGCTTGGCCTCTTCCCCAGAGAACTCTGAATCCTTTCTGACCTGCGTGGCAGAACAGGGTCCTGTGCAGGACCCTGGGAACTGTTCTCCTCGGAGAGTCCTGAGCAGAAACCCTTGGGCTCCACTGGCCGGGGGATGCCTTGATGGGCACTGTCTTCATTCGTGCTCACAATCCCATCTTCAGCTGCAATAAAATGAGAATCCAGACAAGTCACAGGCAGGACTGGAAGCTTTGGACAGGGCAAATCGCAAGGGGCCAAATGCTAAAAATTCAGCAAATAGATTGACTTTAAGTATAAAACATTCTGCTATATCCTGCATTCAGGACATGGTATTTCCCTCCAAACTACACAGTGGATTTTTCAGAGTGTTCACAGGAGCAAATGCCGCAAATTGCCCTGCATGCTTCACCAGAACCTGAATCTACTGAAATCACTGGCATATTAGAGGCAAAAGTTTACTGCTTGAATGGGAAAGATGCTTGCTCTTCCAGGATGGTGTACCTGAAAATCATAGAACCACAGGATGGTTTTAGCTGGAATGGACCTTACAGATCACATCCAGTTCCAGCCTCCTGACGTGTGCAGGGACACCTTGCACTAGACCACGTTGCTGCAAGCCCCATCCAACCTGGTCTTGAACACTGCCAGGGATGGGGCACCACAGCTCCTCTGCGCAACCTGTGCCACAGCCTCAGCACCCTCACAGGGAAGAACTTCTTTCACCTTATCTACATCTCCCCTCTGTCAGTTTAAAGCTATTCCGCCTTCTCCTGTCCCTACTTGCTCTTGACAAAAGCCCCTCTCCCCATTTCTTGTTGGGCCCTTTGGGTGCTGGAAGCTGCTCTAAGATCTCCCCAGAGCCTTCTCTTGGCCAGGCTGAACAAGCCCAGCTCTCTCTGCTTGTCTCCACAGGATGTTACTAAAAGTTGAACTGGGAGTCAGAGGAAGGCCGTGAACAACTGCCTTGTTCAGCAGAACATTACTTGGGTTGCAACAGTAATCTCTGTGTTCTTGTGCTGCCGGTACTGCAGAGAAAGAGAAGATGCACAAGGTATGAGACATGCACACCACCTGGAGCCTGGCTTATGCCACTCTTAGAGCAGAAGACAATTAACTTTATGCTTTCACTGGTGCAGAACAAATCCGTTGTGCGTGCAAGGTGGCGGGTGAACCGAAGATCCCCCATGGCTGGTTCCAGATCATGCAGTGAGGAAATACAATACATGTAGTAGATGAAGGTAGGTGCAAGTTGAATTAATGGTAGCTGAACAGTTACGAATGGCTCCTGGGACAGAGGCAATGAACAGATCCCTGCCCTCTTATGTACATAAAGTCTTGCAGAAGCGTTACTGCTATGAATGTTCACTGCGCAGACCCGAGGTCACCTAAAAGCCTGTTCAAGACAAAGGGCTTGTGCTGAGTCCTTGTGCTGATAGACTTTGACAAAGCCTTCAGAAGCACGTGACAATTAAGTTTTCTATGGTGTTCTATACTTTTTTTGGAAGATCAGGAGTGTCAACCTTCTTTTTACAATTATTGTAACAGCTCTAGCACATCTACAATCATTTCTGTTACTTCTGAGCTACTAGATACCTTCACTGGCATCTAGGACACGTTGTCTGTAAAGGCTTTGATCAAAACCAAGACAGGAACTCACTGGAAGTATTTCAAGTGGAAGGAGAGCAAGGTCACAATGATGAGGATTTAATACTAGAAGCATAAGGCTGAACTGGAAAAAATGCATAAGCAAGAGAGACATGAAGAATGTGGTTCTTCCTCAGCCCATGCCAATTTGGGTTCATGGCAAGACCTCTAAAATGCCAAAGAGTGCCAGTGCTATAGCTACAAGGCAAGCTCCAGGTAAGCAGAGTAAGCTGCTGGACTTCTGACTGTGGTACCTCACTGCTGGGACTGGAGGTGGCTGTTGTGATGCCACAGAAAGGGCTGGAGGGGAGATCTGGGGCCCAACATTCCAAACAAACAGAAATCTGAGTATAAGAATTAATGGACAGATGGCAAGAGGACAGACTGGGGAAGACCTGGCATGGCCTTTGGAATGAGATATCTCACTTCACAAACCACTCGGAGTTCTTCAGAGATGTCCCCAGCTTTATCAAAAGGGACATGTGGGGTCCAGAGGCATTCCCAAAAGACATTCATCCTTCGCCAAAACAGGTAAAGAACCTAAGCTGCTCTGGCATGAATGAACCTCACAGGGCAGTAAAGAAGGGAAAAGGAGGTGGAAACATTTGCTGATGATTTTGTGTTCCTCAGGGTTAAAGACAAAAAACCTGACTACAAACTGTGGCACAGCCTTGAAATACTGACCAACCAGGTGACAGGGGACATTCACTGCAAGTAAACAAAGACCCGGAGAGGAGAACAGCCTCTACAGCTTGCACTTACACCAAGCTGGGCCTAGGATGTTCTTGATATCATTCAGGAATAGCACCTTGGAGTCTGAGCAGCTGGATGAAAACTGCAGCTCCTAGGCACACAACACAGCCAGTCAAGCATCAATAAGTGCTGGGGGGGGAAACAATAGGGAGGAAAAGAGAATGTAATTCTGCCTTGCTGCTCAAACCCCACATTCTGACTGTGTGCAAGGGGGAGGACGGATCCCCCATGTCAGAGACACTCTGGCAGAGCTGAGGAAGACAGAGGCATGACAGGAACCATCAGAGGCACAGAGCAGCTTCTGTATAGGAGATGAGTCAACTGCCCATTCTGCTGATTAATTTTGGCTTTAGAAAAGGACAGGCAAAAAAAGAAAGCTAAGTTGGAGAGATGTTGTTCAGCCTGTGATAGTGGGGGAATGATGTTTAAAGTTAAGAAAAACCTAGAGTACTCAGGAAGATAGGTTGGAAAATTCTGCATCACAGGTAACCTCCAAGAGGAGGACCCTCTGCATCTATCAGATATTGATAAGGAGGAAGAGATTGCTGTCACTGGCAACAAGCAGCAGATCCCCATTCAGAGTTAATAAAGGGTTAAAGCAGAAGTGCTGTTGCCGAGGCAGGCATCTGGAGCCGCTGCAGAGCAGGGTGGGCAACTGTGAGGAAAAAGAAAGGGAAAACCAAGGGGGAAGGGAGAGGAGCTCGAGCAGCTCCTGTGTTTGAGCGTGGGAGGAGGGATGTTGGGCGGAGGTGGGGGAGTGGGGTCTTCTGTGGAACTGGGTCGGTGTGCGTGCTATGGGGAGCTTGGACGCTGGAAGTGAGCCTGCCCTGCGGGGGGGAGGGGCAGTGCCATGGGATGGCTCCGGCGGCTGAATTGGAACTGGAATAACAGGGACCTGGGGAATCTACCCTATCAGATCCACCGGTTAAATTAAATGCCAGGGACTAGAAGAAATAAAGCGGAATTTTAGTGAATACAGGAGCAACTTATTTGGTGCTACATCAGAGAGGAAAGAATTTGTTACAGATGTGGGAGCTATTGGCCACCACGGGAAAGAGGAAAAAAAAAAAAAAAAAAAGGAGGCTTTCTTCCTGAAACCTTTAAAGTACAAATTTGGAAAACAAATAGGAATGCATAAATTTTTATGCATGCCAAATTCTCCAAAATCTTTATTAGGGTGAGAAGCAACATTTAAAGTAGGCAAAATGGAATTTAGAGGTAAAAACAATCAATTGATTGCAGTTTTTCGTTTATCTTTAATTCAGCAGAAAAGCAAACAGGAGGACCTCCCTGAAATAGAAGAAAACCTTAATCAGGTATATCTGGGAGTAT